ATGTATTATATGATTTATAAAAATATAGTAATAGATAATATGCATAGTAAATACTTACAGTTTGAATTTGTTCTAATTTTTGAATTTGTTTTTTAGTACTTGGAATTTCATAATTAACATTTCTTATAAGCATTTGAGCAACTTCTGCAAGATATACATTATCTTTCTCATATAATCGTAATATTTCTTGCCAGTCTTTCATTCTTTGTGATCCGTACCTGCCAAATACATTTTTTGTGTCAGCTTCAGTTTCTTTTAAAATTTCTACTATCTTCAAACAATGATAGTAATTTATATCTGAAAGAAAAACAATTACATAATAGGAATAAATTAACTTACCAATACAATAAAGCATAAAATATCAATTTAACTTACATGAGCCAGACAATAATTTTGCAATGCCTTCATGAACAGGCATATCTTGTATTGCATTGTTAATTTTTTCTCTAATGATTAACACTGTTACATGCCAATCTTTATTACAATGTCGTCTATTAACTAACCATTCCAACAACTTTCCAGCATTAATATCAATAGGAATATTTTGCTCCTAAGTAAAGTATAACATTAATTATAATTTAAATCGTGTCATAAATAATTATCACTAATACAAAAATATATGGAAAAGTAGGGATAATAACATGCATTCAGATTAATAAGACATTTTAATAATCAACATTATATATTTTGAATTGTAAATTAAATCCATAATCTATTTAACGTGAAAACATTTCAAGTAATTTAAAAAAGCGGATACAAGATTCAATATTATAAAATCTTAAAATTTACCTCCATAATATAAAACTTTAATACGGTTTTATTAAAATTTGTTTACGTCTCTTTTTTAGTAGGTTATAACAGCTGTCGCGGTTTCCTTATGTCGTTTCAGCATGTTGAAGTGGATGCAACGATAGGTTGTTTCACCGGCTGTCTTAATGACAAATATTACGCATTTCCGTAAAACCGACATTTAAATCTGACTTTTGTAGAGCGGATATGCCACGTGTTCGAATTTCGTGTCAATATGCGTTATCAATAGTTACAAATAACATTTTACACAGTAAAAGATTATTATATACTTTTATTCTATACATTTTGGTAACGCATAAGAATATATAAATGTAGTAATAGTAATTGCTCTTAATAACTGTAAATACCAAAATTATTATATAAAATAAACGGAACACTAAAATTATAAAATAAAATTTATTGTTTTCCATTTGTAACAGTATTCAGTACTTCTTTCTTTGGTAATTGTACAAATAAAAAGTAAGAATATTTCTTATTTACTAAACATGTTAAATTGTATATGTGACATATTGAAGCAATATGTATGTATGTGGTTAAAGGTAGGAGAGGAAAATAATTCTACAGTTATAAGATAGTTATACGCGCAAATATTTTAATTATGGTACACATTCATAGTAAGAAAAATGTGTTTTCTATGATAATATCTATTGCATTGTCAATGCCAAGATATAGTTATAACTTCATTTTATTATTACAAGAGATAGTCCAATTATTTTCACATTCTGTTACAGCTCATAATAGGACAGGTACCCATATTAAAATGTTCTAACTTTCATATGACTTAATATTCAAATGATACACACAAGGTGGTCGCGCATACACAACATTCTTTTACTCGAGAAAACTAGAAGTTTCACTTGCTAGATCATTCCGTCCGTCTGGTGTTGTACTTCTATGTCTGAAGTATAGACATAACAAACAACTGGCCAAGGTTAACAAGGCATCATGATTGGTAAAACTTGTAAAACGTTAAATATGTTGTTTTATGTCGATCAGACGGATTAGGTATTTTATTGCGAAGAAAGAAGGTATAATTATTCGCAATTATACTAATAAATGAATTAAGGCTTTCTTTCCGTGAAAAAGGTCTTTAAAACATACACTTCTCCCACACATATTACTAAAATTGTAAATGTTTCTGTAATAGACCAGAAGAGCACACCTCTGTTCAAATCTTCTGCACGTTTACGGCCTTGTGCTTCTCTTAATCGATGATGTGTTTGATAGTCCAAAATGCTGTTCAAATTCTTATGTATTTCTTGAGCAGAAGACTCCATCTAAAAAAAAAATGTTTACATAATATACAACTGCCTTGAATGCATCTTATTTCATTCATAATATCAAGATAAAAATATAAAAATAATTTAAATAACCTGAGTCATAACAGTGACATGCTCTCCAAGTCCGGCAAGTGGTGACTGATCACCCACTCGAAAATCCATGTATACAAGTTTATGTGAAAATGTGGAGAACTCATTGCTAAAACATGCTTGATATACTCCTGACATATCTGCTGTGAATTGATGTGAATCAAATTGCGCTTTTATTTGTTTATAGATGATTTCTTTATTTGGTGCTTTTAAAATTACATCTACATCATATTGTCCACCTGTCACAACCTGAAATACATTTAACTTAAATCAGATTTGTCTTTATAATTTATAAAACATAATCACAGAAAAACAGTTTAAATATTAGTGTAAATGAAAGTTGTAGCACATTTGGTTTTCAATAACAAGTTTGCAAATTTACAAACATGTTAGTGCTACTACGTCGTAACAAAGTGAATTGATTCTGAATATTGTTTTATAGCTTTTAATTATTGTAAAAAGCATTTCATTTAATAATATATAATGTATATACCTGAAATTCGAGCATTGCTGTTGCATTTTTTTCAATTTCCTGAAAGAAACATTGTTTTGCGTTGTCAGGAAGTTCGAAGGTTAGCTCGACGCCACCAGTACGTAATATCGTACCCAAAAGTGAGACAAACAACAAGTAGATCGACCAGTAGTCCATTCTTCGTTGATTTTTTATCTTCTGTAATTTATTCACTATCCAACACACATTTAAGTTCAAGGAAATTTATAAATCCCAATATTTAATTAATTGATCAAGGTCCCGGCCAATATTTTAACCAAACAAGCTATTTTAACGTGGCCGGATATTGCTTGTGTTAGTACGACAGGAGCGCCGCCTAAAACGGAATCGACTACGCTGACGTCCGATTTTAATGAATATTAGAATCGTCTGTTTATTGAAAAAACATAATGTTTCAAAAGATTCAAAATAAACTTATAAAATTACAAAAACATAGCCAATACAAAAATGTTTATTTCGAAAACAGAAATTTTCGTTAAATATTGATATTTAGTAATAAAGATTGAGTGTTTTGAAATGTAATCATAAGAGAAATAAGAAATATGGTTATAATAATATACAATGAATATGAAAATAAAATAATTTGGTTTTTTCCTTTTAAAAAGTAATGTAAGATCAAAAAATGTTATTTTTAAATATAATTCTTTTATTTCAATGTTTTTCCTTCATTTTTCCCGAATAAAATGTTTTTCTCTTGGTTATGACGAGTTTTAGAATATTTCTGTTGTATTAAAAAAATATGCATTTTCGGTAGAAAATTTTATTTTCTGTACTTGTCTTTTGTGATTTATTTTACATATTTGTGGTACAAGGATCAATAAATTAATGTACTTCAAACGTCGATGATAAGTTGTAAATATGAATACATAAGTTTGTCACGTTTTTTACACTGCATTAATAAAGACAGCCGCTTAAGAGTTAGACGAATATTAAATAGTTTCCTCTACGTGCATTGCATGATCCTAGAAATCGGAAGTTGTCTTAGAGTGTTAATTTTTCAACACTCTTCCTGTTGGAGAAATTGAATAACATGTAAACAATGATAAATAATATTGAATCATGTAATTCTATTGAAACTATAAAATTTATGTTTATTTAAATACAAAAAGATTACTTATACGGTCTATTTTAATTAATTATTACAATTACTTTAATTCAAAAATAACTTTAAAGTTTAGATAAAATAAATATTTACTCCAAGCTCTGGAAATATAATTTTCATTTTTAAAAATCATTTTAATGCATGATTGAACTTAATTCTTAGATAATACAGGCAAATATTTCATCTCCATTCATATTGATGACTTATTCTCATTTAAATAATTATTATATAGAGTGATTTGTAATTTTTGCGTATATCAGATGATAGAAAAGATTTTAATACTGCAAGCAAACACGTGTACGTGTACGACAGTGTTGCGTGAGGCGCCCTAAGGTCCCGCCTACTATTCTAATAGAGTCTCCTCGTCTGTCACTTACTTATTCATGGAAGTGTGTTGCAGAACAAGTCACGTGTATCGAAGGGCGAAGAGGGTGCCCAAAAGAGAGGGAGAGCAGTATAAAGATCCTTTCATTGCAAAAGGAAACCAAGCGTGGCGGAACACGTAAAATTACATGTCACCCCAAAAATCATTTCATGCAAGTACCGTAAACGATAAAATTTCGAATATTTAAAAATGTTTCACATAGTATTTTTACAAAAAAAGTATTTACATATTTGAAAAATTATTGATTATCTACGTTATATATTTGTTTACACATAAAAAATTTAGTTTCAAGCAATTAATTATATTTTTTGACTATAATTATTGAAAGTGTTCAAAGTAGGTCTGATTTCTTCGAGACAGAAAAAATGAAATTGTGATTACATAGATTGAATCATGCATGTAGCAGTGCAGTTACAGTGCACGTGTACATATGTAAGTATGTATACCCATGCAATGCAACACTATGTGTATACTTCCTATCGTATAATCTAGACTCCTTGCTGGCACGGTAATAACCGTCGCGAATTTTTTGATAACTCCGCATAGCGTGCTTGAATGATCCTTAACGATACCTACAAGCAGTTCTAAATTTAACACGTTACTATATGAAGCATAAAATCGATATAAATTTAGTTGAAAATACAATGTACTAACGTTTTTTCTTCATGCGGAGTTTTCAAAAATTAAATTCCATTTAATAAAAAACTTAACAATTATTACAGTGGGAAAGAAGTATTATATACTTTTAATTAAAATAGGTTATAACTAGTATTTGATATTCATTGACATTTCGATACAAAAAGATTTCTAATCGGTAAGAAACGATTCTTATGTCGATACTTTAGTATCGATTCTATATTTTATTATACTTGACATTATGAGCAGCTATGACTGTACAATTTGTGCAACTACTGCCGCCGAACGGATGCTATTAGTAGCATTAATAAGTTTTTAATAAGAATGTATTTATTTACTTACAGTATTACAAACATAAATTCTTCATAGAGAAACGTAGAGCACCTGCTTTATGTCGTACATACATATACGGTTCGTGAATATCTAATGACTACGTTCCGTTTGAGACTGTTGTACCTACATACACTATCTGTCAAAAGTTTCAGGCATACGAATAACTATCAAATCTATGAACCAAATTGAAATCTTCGTAAAAGAAAAATATTAAGAGAAGTAATAGATCTTAAAAATCATATTTAGCTGTTGTAGTTGTCCAACTTTAACCTAGATTCATTATTGTTAGACAAAGTAAATGCATTAGAAAATTCTGTTTAGTGTTGATACAGGGTGTGCAAAAATTTGAAATGCTGGGTACTTTTAGTAGATATTTTATAGATTCACAATGAAAGGCTCAAAAATGGAAATATCAGCAAGCATTATTTTAAACAGGTTTTTATATAATACCACTTTGTCGCGTTATACCTTTTTATTCCAGTTTCATACATGTATTCAAAAATAGCTATAAAGTAAAAATGCCGATTGCAAGATAAGGCGCGAAATTTAACAATTCTTTACCAATGACACGTGTATTCAACTTTTGAGCGATAGTGTATGTACACGTGTATTCGTGTATACACGAAGAGTCAGGTTCGAAATACGAACAACACGAGGGGTTTCTCCACCACGATTAACTCCATCGGAGTGGGGGAAGAAGCACACGATCGCATCAAGCTCGCACCATGAGTTTTCGAACGACAACGGTAGGAGGCAGGTCTCCTTCTGTATACTTCTCGTCTCTTGCCAGTGTTATTTTTATCCACGAATTTTCCTTTCGTACAGTTGGAAGAAATTCGTACGCGAAGAATTTGTGTCTCTGTTGAGTGGAGTCCATAAGGAATAACGCGTGTGAAAGGAAGAACACTTTCTATCGGTGGTTCAAGAGACAGAAGATAAACCAGTGTAACGTAGGTCGGTGACTTGGAAAACCTTCAGGGTAGCTGTCTATAAGTAAGTAAGTACCTTCTGATAATAACAAAATCTTCATTACAATATCGATGTATACCAATTTTACAGAGAAGTGTTTTAACTTTGTTAATTTACGTAAAAGATTTTTAATAATTTTCGTGACATAATTTTTGAACAATTAATTATTTGCATTTTCTATAATATTAATTTTATAAGTATGTATGTGATTGATAGTATTCAATTATACTGTTTGTTCAAAATGACCTAGTTACTATTATGTTTCACGTAGTGACGTTTGAAAAACATTCAATTTTCGTACGTTAGAGTTTCACTTGTGCTAGGTAACTTTTTACTGTAGTTTACTATCCAGTTCACAAGTTTTAATGGAAAATGGTTTTACTTTTTGTGGAGTTTATTTACATTTTATTACCCGAAACAGGTAACTTTTTTTTTTATACGTTTCGATGTATGAACTTTAATCGTAGAAGAAATATTGAAAGAGTTTGTGGCTCTCACGGGTTAGTGTCCTTCTGACTCTGAAATTCGTATATTGTCTTAGCCATAATTAAATTCATGGCGCACACAAGCGCTTTTACCTGCTGAATGTTGCTTTGAATGTGCCTATAAAGTAGGAAACAAAAGTTTTTATAGAGTTTTTTTCATAATTCATCAATAAATAATTTTTGAAATTTTAGAATATTTTATTATTTCATTACAAACAACATTTTAATATTTATTTTAACTGATGTTTCTCTGGCCGTTCTGGTATTGTTTTTGCTATCAAATTTCACTTTCGGGCGAAATCGATATACTTACTAACCAGTGTCCCTTCGATGTCGATTGTTGTTTTCATGCGATGGTATGTTTGGAAAGCAGAGGATTGAGATAGGTAGGTTAATGGCTTCCTACAAGCATTACATATTACATATTTCATCTAGTTTAAATTATCACGATCAAATCTCGAATAACTGTAGATGAAATATGTAATATAGAAAAGAAAAAAAAAACATAAATCTTTAATGTATATGTAGTTAGTTTTATGTACCTACAATTTCAAGGTTTTAAATTTGATTTAAAGAGTACCGCGATCTGGTATGAAGAAAGATAGTAATCTCGTTAACACGAAAGAAAAATATCTTCCTGCGAAGATTACCTTTGTATCTTTCTCCATTTTATGACAGTATCTTTGTTTAACTATTTTGCACATCTTGTCCTTACCTTTTCTTTATATGAAAAATACATTTAACGTATCTGTATTCAAGTTTATTTTCACTACGAAGTTTCGTAAAAAAATCCGTACCTTGAGATAAGTCCAAGGCCATATAAATAGCTTCTTTTGCAAGGCGCATGCATTAAAGCGATAGATTATAACACAAATAATGTTATAATTACCCCTCCTTGTTCGTTTTACAATTATGCTTCAATTAGGGTATTGGTTTCACGGCCTCCTTTACGGTTTCTTCACCAATTTTCATGATTTACCAACGAAAGCGGCGATGGGTTATGCACGAGTCGAGGGTGCCGTAACGAAAGTTAAAAATAGCCGAATATAGCAAATAAACGAAGCAAGGTTGACGGACGCGATGCTGAAATACCCAGCTATATTAATAAATTTCCCATGGTGCTCTCAATGTATTTAATATGCACTTTTAATAAAAATATCGATGACACACTAATACTTGTATCGTAATTTGTTGATCGAAAATACATAATTCCAACAATAATTGTACAATTTCTGTACAATTGTTTGCATAATTAATTGTTATATACGGTTGATGGTTGTTGTCGTTTAAAAGTGATAATTTCATGTTTTGGATCGATTTTTAGTTGTAAACAGAACTTTAA